CAAGTCCATCGGATTGAGGTAGCTCACCCAGTCGATGTAGTCGATCATGCCGTCATGTTCCACGTCGAGGGCTCGGAAGAGAGCGTCCAATTCTTCTTCAGAGAAAGTCGCACCAGCGCTCTTGATACCAGTTTTGAACGTCGGAAAGTCCACGAGGCGGTCAACATAGCTCTTCTTGGCGCGGCTCACTGGGCCATCCAACGAATGGAAGAGCAGTTGGGTTTCCACAAGAATGCTCGACATGCGCTGGAGAAGTTCAGGCTTGCCCATCGCAGTACACTTGATAGCGGTAAAACCTTGAGTCGGAGCGTCGTGAATAGCTTGAAGCGCAATTTTCATGTTGGCGTCGCACATCGCTTCATCTTCATAGTCGTAGGTACGGGCCTGCAATTCGTTGGAACTGACACCGTCCAGTTGGGTCTTTTTCTCAGCTTCGACATCGGCTTCGGCAGCATAGTCGAGGATAGCGCCGATGCCCGCGGATTCTAAGCGCTTAAGGGCAGGTTGAATATCACTTGCGTTTTCACCAGCGCAAAAGTGGCCAAAAAACGACTTCTTGAGAGCCCAGTCCGTGATGGATTTGCCCATAACTTTGTATGACGCATTGATCATGGCTTGACTGTTGCGAACAAGGAACGGAATCTGACAGGTTTGGAAGACAGCGTACGCACGAATCAATTCGGTCGTGGATTTCGCGGCAAATATACGTTCGGTCTGCGTGAACGAGAGCGTCGACGGCGCGGCATGTACCTTGTCTTGGGTCGTGGATGTCGATGCCGTGGTGGGAATAGTCGTGACCGTACTCAAGGAACGAGCGACCGGGGAGCGGCGCAGTGCAACACAGGCCGACGCGCGAAGCATGGAGACAAGGGCAAATTCAAAACTGAGCGCGATTTCCTTGGTCCGTGGATGAGCTTTGCGTTGAAGCTATATAAAGAGCCCTCCGGATACGACCGGGTTTCCGGATATCTGTACATTTTAATTCACACAATATACAAATTACCATATAGAATACACCGTAGTATATTATTGACAGTAGTGGGACGATCACTCCATTGCGTTGAAGTTGCGCCGTTCAAACCACGGAGGCAGGGCAATTTGTATGCTGCTCGGGAAAGCTCCCTCGTGGAATTCACGTGGCTCTGTGTGATGATGTTAGTACTCTTGTACTTGCAGAACCAACAACGTTTGAGGCGACGCATGCAGCAACGACGATCTCGCGCTCGCCGCCAACTGTACCAGCTGACGCAACCAGGCCAACACCATGGCGCTGGCGAGCGCAAGACAATGAGGCCATGAGTTTTCATGCTACGCATGCCCTCCTTCGTGTCGTTCGCCCCACCGCAGGTCAGGCGAGGTGGCGGCGTCCAGCAATCCAGGTGAAGCCAGTGCGATGATGTCGTCGTGCTTCAATCGAGGTCTCGATATTTTATCCAATCAAAGCGTAACTTACGCGTAACATGCACCCGACGATTCATTTCCACCAATCAAATATGCCAATTTGCCTATCCTGCATTATTTCAGCCAATCGAAACGAATGTTGTACACTCCTCAATAAATCGAGGTTTATGTTCGATACGTGGCACGATCTCCGTACAGACCAGTCGTGTCTTGCGGCTGGGCGTTTGCGTCGTCCGCGTGTGCTGCGAACGCAAGGACGACCTGCATGTTGGAAGCAAACTCCTTGTGGCCCTTCTTCGCATCCTTGAGCAGCTTGTCGATCTCCGCCTTCTTGATCACAAGTGGACGGTGGTGGTCCGTGTCCAAGAATGACGTGTGGAACCATAGGTGGCCAACTTCCTTTTGCTTGACCTTCAACATGACGAGAACTTCCCCAAAGAGCAGCACGCGCTTCTCCGGGCATTGAATCTGCGTAATCGAGGCAAGAATCAGCTATTTCACTTCTCGCGTTGATCGGACCTGCAGGGTTTCCGTGGGTTCGCCACTCGCGCTGTCGTCCACGTCGACTCGGGGTGTTCCCACGGCAGAAATATCGTACACCAACGACCGATCAAAGCCCACTTGCACCTCGACGCGGAGGTTGTCTGGATGAACATGCACGTCAGCATTCGACGATGCCAACTAGTTCGAGAGGGAGGCACGTTTTTACCCATCTTCCGATGCTTGGGGTAGAGCCCTGTGATGGTGACCGATGTCAAGACCACGTTGTTCACTTTGGGCAAGCTCAAATGCGGAAACACTTTGGGAAGGGCTGCCAAGGGCTGCAGCTGCTGCAACTCGGCCTCCACCGCCGCGATCATCGCGTCCCCGTCGATTGCGCCACTTCCACTGAGCGACGATGATGACAAAGATGATTGCGGCGACAACGTCGGTGAGTCAGTCAGCGACGGCTGCTGCCATTGTTTGTCCCATAGGTCTTGAAAATCCGCCCGGGTCATGCGAAGTTCGTGCTGGGCGGCCGTGTCAAATTGGTCAGCGTGGCACATCAAAGCAAAATACTCAATGAAGCGGCGCTGGCTTGGAATGGTCACGCCCTTACCAAACGAACTTAAGACTGCGCCGTCCTCTGGTGGCAAACGCAGCTACCTGCTGATTGAGCGACCGCGCGTTTCCATAAAAGTTCATCGCGCCTTGTGCCGTCACCCACTCGGAGCTGTATAACAAAAAGGCGCAGATCATGACCCCCGTTCGCCCCTAGCGAGCCCATCATCAGAGATGCGCACATTGCCCAGGTCTGGCCGCTCAGGCAATTACAGGACGTACTTTGCCTGCTTTGCAATGGATGGCTGCGACGTTGTCTGGGTGCTGGGCGAGCCATTCAAACTACCATCGGTCGGTTCAAGCCATTGTGCGTCGGAGGAAGCGTCGTACGATATCCTGGCACGCAGGAATGAGCAGCGATAGCGGCGGAGGGTTGTGATCGTCAAAGGGGTACTCGGCCACGCGGCTGTGGAATTTTTCCTTGCCGTAATGCCGCTCTGAGCACCTACAGGGACATTCAGTCGGGTGGAGGATCGGTCGGGAGCGGTTGATCGCGTACAAATTATACACCTTGTAGTGGTCTTTATGACGATGCTCAAAGCAGCTGAAGACGTCCTATGGCGACGTAAGCACTTCAAACAAGCAGCAAACTCGAATAGGGAACCTTGTAGTGGTTACGATACATGCCTTCGAGGTGTTCGGCGGGATAACCAAACGCAATGATCCGCGGCGTGACATCTGCTTTGCGATTCAAGTCAGGCGAAGGTAACCGCATGAACTTTGGCGTACACGTCATGTCCAAATCGAACCCGTCGTCGATGAAGCGACGCTTCTTCTTCGACACGAGCTTCTTCAACTGGAGTGTCATGACGGACGTCGACATGTTGGAGATCGCCGACTTTCGCGTTGGCGTGCCAGGCATACCCGTGTGAAAACAGTTCGACACAGCTCCCTTCGGACTCCCCACACCCGTCGTCACGATGTGCTGTGACGACGGCGTGTGCAGGTGGTGCTGCGATGACGACGCTTTGATGTTCATTGCTTGCTTTGTCGCCGGCGCTGTCCAAAAATGGGCGCCCCACTTCGCAAGTGCTCTGCTCCTTTGTCAAATCCAAAGTCTGTGCTATTTTTAGATTCTCGAATGAACACCTGTAAGCGATATAGCCAATCAAATTGGATGAATCTCCGAGAAACGATTTGGATTGGTCCTTCATTCAAGCGGCAACTGCTGTCCTGGAGTTTGCACACCACGAAAAGGCAAACGGCATCCACGTCGGGTGCTTGCAGCCGCCGTCCGTGGCTCCGCCAAGGTAGCAAACTCCGTCGCTGCGGTGCGCATATAGGGGGCATTGTGCAGCATAGCGTGCCGTGGCTCGATGTTACTTGCAATGGCTGCGAGACGCGTTGCTGGACACTATAACTTTAAGATCTCAATGTTGTCCTTGACGTGCTGGGCAAAGACCTTGGTCTTCCCCATGCCATTTCGCATCACCGTTGCCATGCGCTCCTTGACCACGTCCATGTCTGGCGCTAGCTGACGAAAGTTGTTGCTCAAGATGCCCTCTCGCAGTTTGAAGTCGAGTTTGAGTTTCTCTGTTCCAGACATCCGGGGCAACTCGTCATGGTTTGCAAGGGCTTTCGCCGCGTCGTCCCGCGACTTCTTGAGGGCTTGATGATATCGCTTCGCTCGAGCAGGCAACAGCCCCGCCTTTGATTGAAGTCGCCGGCACGCTTGGGTCAAGGCGCCAGTTGCAGGCAACTCTCGCAGGAGCGACTCCAGTTCACTAGTCCACCGTTCGATTTCGTGGGGTTTCATGATAGCTTCAGTCTGCAGGGGCTTCGCCAACCGGTTGTACGCATCCAAATGATCTTTGGCGCGTACCAAGTGACCTCGGGCGAGTACATATGCTTGGGTAAAGCAATCCCACCGCACCAAACAGTACGGAGCCACAACCAAGTCTGCCCCCCCGTAAAACTTGTCACTCCGGGCATCTTTCCGCCATTCCATGTCCTTCCATACAGCGGCCGCGGTTTGGGCCGCCAAATAATCGTGAAAGTGCCGGCGGGGCCGAGGGGGGCCTGGAGATGCTGCTGCCGGATCTTCCATCTTGACGTCGACGTCCTCTGGCAGAAGAATGTCCAACTCGACAGCGTATTCTCGGTCTTCTTTGGCCGTGACGCCATATCTATGAACACAAAAGGTCTGCGTGGTTGCCCAAACGATTTGACAGTACCGAGTCCCAAGGGGTATGCCAAACTTGTCTCGCACGGCCAAGACGGGGTGCATAACAGATTGCTTCGCCTTGTCCACTAGCACATCGAACGCATCGACGGCGGCCGACCGGTGCTGCGATAGCAAGGACGCAGTGTCGTCGGAGTACGCTGCCTGCACGCTTGGTGGTCAGCGGGCTGCGCACTTGTATCGAGTGACGACGGAACTTACGTCAAGCAGCTTGCCTCGTTTCGTGATCTTGAGCTCGTCAAACTTCTGAAAGCATTGCCACAACTTGGCGAGTCGTAGCAACGGCTTGGGCTCGGCCATGGCAAAGCTGAAGTATGCATACGCACGGATAACTTTGCGTGGTCGAGGTTGGTTGGTCTGGTGTCGGCTTCGCTCCACCAGTGCCACCATCTAGGTATGACAATGACGAAGCGCATCACCGATTGTGGCCGGGGCCAAGAAGGATACACCCACGTGCTGTTTGCAGTACCTTTTCGTCCCTGACAGCTTTGACAGCCTTCCGTGTTGCAATCCGCTCGTACTCTCGGCTCATGCGACGATTCACGAGCGCCGACTCGACGAGCACGGCACGTTTCCGACTCATGCTCTGCTGCAATGGATCGGCTAGCACGTCGTCGGGCACCTCGTTCGCGTGGCGTCTAATAGCCCGACACAATTTTGCATCAACGTCGATATGCAGTCAGTGCTGCGACATTTCCATGTCCATGGGAGATGTCGTCAAAATCTCGCCAACGCAACATGCTCTCTCCATCCACGGTACCTTAGGGCGACGTGGTGCAGCGGTGCCACGACAAAGTTGTGCTTGATGTACTGAGCCAACATCGCGGGAGTTTTCTCGTCGTGGATCGTGGCCACCGCCAACATCATGTACGTTGCAATGGACGACGCTCCCGTGGTCGGGTTCAATTTAAAGTCGAGCAGTGTTAGGTCGCCCCGCGTGACAGCTAACGTGCGGTCGGACGCGGCCAGCACAACTTCGTCCATCCAAAAGAGTCCTTGGCTAGCATCCATGCATGAGTTGATTTTCCCACAACACGACAGGTCGTACGTCGTTGGGAGGACGAGGTAGAACTGGCGGCCGCAGGCATGGTCCACGGTCGCGCCATCGTTGAACCGGTACAAGTCGTACAGGTACTTGACGGTGCTCGTGGCGTCGAGCTGCAACGTGACCACCTACGTGGACGAGGAGCAGTCAGGAGAGCTTGATCGTGGAGGTTGGATTACATTGCCGGCCGGCACCCTCTTGATCACGACAACGACAAACGATTGCTTCCTGTTTATCCATTTGTGAGCACTCGACATGCCATGGACCACGCCGTACTTTTCGCGGTGCTGTCGAATCGCATACTTGTCGATGAGCAGGTCGCGCCTCCACTTGGCCTCGGACGAGGTTACGATTTGAGCAGGCTGCGATGTCCATATCGATGGCGCTCCACCGCTCGTTTCACGACCATCTCGACGTCGCAATCCGTTTGGATTTGGTGTCAGTGGTGTCCTTTGTTCTGGAGTTGACGCCATCGTGGTATGCCGGCCATTATCAGGATCGTCACGCCCGGAGTAAAAGTTGGACGGGGGCTCCCAGCATCCTGGACACCCCTGCAACTGCGACGACTCGCACACAAGGCATTCCATGTCGCTGAATCGAGCATCCATGATCCGTCGCAACTCGACGACGGCGGCGTGTCGCGATCGCGGCGTCGGGCCGGTGGCTTCAAGGTCTGGTCCCATGTCGTCTTTCCCCCATTGAACCTCGCGCTTTCGAAATTCCATTCCAAGAAATACTGGCGAAATCGACGCGGCGTCATCGTGGTGGCACAGTGTGTAGCCGATGAACGCGGGGTGTGGTGCGTCATGACGGGTGGCGCCGTGAGGCCGCGCCATCGACGACGTTTTGGCCAAGGAATATCCGAAGAAGACGGGGGTAAAGCACGTCACAGAAGTCGGTGTAAGTGATCGAAACGATTGCGATTTGAATTCGTAGCCAGCGCTCGCAGGGTGTTCGTCGAATGGACTTACACAGTCGAGCTCAAACCGCTTGATCTGGAGCTCTATCGCGTGGAAACGTATTCGTTTGGAACAGAAGCATTCTTCGCGGGCGTACCTTCTTCGTTCGTCGTGTTGCGGTGCCACGCCTTGGATGCGTCTGCCTGGAGTTGCCTCCGCTTCGTCGCTTCGAGCAGAACTTTCTCGGCAGCGACTCGTCGTGCAGCTTGGTCCCGTTTTCTCCGTTTGTCTCGGGCCTTTTTCGTCTCGATAGGATCGAGGTGCTGGAGTTTCACGGGAAAGGTTGGGATGGTGAGATCGCCGCCGCTTTCGGCCATCATCTTTTGTGCCAGCAACTTTCGTTTCAGCATGTAACGGCACTGTGACTGCCATCCAACACGCAAAAGAAGTGATGGCTGCACGTGCTGCAGTTCCATGAGCGGGAACGACACTAGTGTGTGCGCATGCAAACGGTCGGTACGCTGCAGGCGAAGGTTATGGCAATTGAAAGGGCCGACGCGTTCAGTGGGTCGTGGTGGCAGCCTTCCAACAAACTCGAATCCATGGCCCCGACCCAACCAAGTATTCTTCATGAAACCTCTAGACGGGAGAGCCTCCACTCAACCTCCTTGTCACACCACAGTTGCTGTCGCACAAGCGCTGCCGCCTGCGCATCCATGGTGGCCTACATGTGATGCACCACGTCCCATCGCTGTCGACGCACGTTGTCCGTACGTGTCCAACGAGCCACGAGCTGACCCCCATGTCAACACAACGCTAGCAAGGACGTGGAGCACCTAACTATGTGCGCCGCCGTCATCGTCTCCGTGAACTGCCGCTGCAGGCATGCGGTGATGGCCTTGTGCCGCTTCGAGTTGGCTTTGTTGGTGCACCAACTCATCGCAGCGCAATTTTCATTGGCGCAAAATCCGGCCATCATCCAACGGTTTGGCAGCGAGGGGGTATACAAACATCAAGATAAAATACAACTAATTTCAAATTCCACTCAAAAATAGCGCTGGCCGCACGGTGCGCTCGGGATGGCGACAGGCATGTTGGCAGCGCCATGCACGGATGAAGGGTGCTGATGTAGCGATGCGTGATGTAGATGGAGATATCAAAGACATGTTTGGATCCGACTCGGAGTCGGAAGAAGAGACGTTCAAAGGTACGTCATGCATCAAACGACGACAGTGCTTGGACCTGTGTTAGGCTCGTCGTCCAACCCAAGTGCCGTGAATGAATCTGCGTCCGGGCTGTTTGGGTCGGATTCGGAATCGGACGCGGACGAACAGCCAAAGAAACTCAAGAAGGCAACACCTGCCCCCAAGAAGAAGTCGGCATCCAAACCCCCGAAACCAGCTCAGCGCAAACCACAACGAAGTGCAGCAGATGACGACGACGAAGACAGTCTGAAACCCCCACCGCGGGGCAAAGGTACATCCCATGGCGAATCTACCGCCAAGGAAGCATCTCGCTTCATGATGGTGTCCAGGGGACGAGTACGATTCCGGCGAAGAAGTCGTTCGTACCAAAGATGACGAAGCGTTCATCGACGACGAGGATGATCTGGGAGGCGTCTTGGACGAGTACAATCAGGAAAAACAGGTACGGCTGTGCAGTGACCGTTTGAGTTGATGCGATGGGGGTGTCCTATGGCGTCAGCGCTTCCACGACGAGCGACCGGATGAGGACGACGACGATGACGACGAGGGCGAACGGTACAGCCGCGGTGGTGGCGGCCGCGAGGACGATTACTTTGAGGAGACGCTCAAGTCGATGAAGTCGGGGCGTGGGCGAAGCAAAATGAAGCTGTCGCCGCAAGAAATCGAGTCCCTCGTGCAGGTGTGCCTCGACCTGCATCAACATGATTCACGCACACCTGGCATGTCCAGGAAGTGTTGTATAAAATGGACAAGGCGTACACGGACGACCAGATCTCGATCGAGGCCAAGGTCCCGGCATTTGAAAAGGTAAAATCCAGAGCCCATCGACCGCATCGACTCGGCTCTCCGCGTCATGGCGGCCGTCCTCTCTAGCTCAAGCTCGTGGATAAGCTCGCGATCTTGCTGCGCAAAGTGCAACTGCAGCTGCCCATGCTCGACTTCAACTTGCTCGAGGTAGGACGCATGTGTTGTTGTCTCGGCCGTCGCGGCAACCGCTTGCACGTCGAGTGCTCAGCGCACACTTGACCATGCCGTGTGAGCTGATGGGTGTGCGTGTGTGGTGATGGCTGGCGGCAGATCATCAAAAAGTGGATTCACCCCAAGGAGAACGGCGAACTGCCCAACTTGGGCCTTCGGACCAAGATTTTGGACATTGTGCAGCGCCTGCCGAGTACGACATGGATAACGATGGAATGCGCGCGTCGATGCCATGGTGGTGTGTGTGTGTGTAGTCGACAAGGAGCATTTGAAGCGCAGTGGATTTGGCAAAGTCATCATGATCCTGTGGAAGCACCCGGACGAGAGTCCCGAAAACAAGGAAGTGTGCCGGCAACTTATCGATCGGTGGAGTCGGAATGTCTTTTCGAAAACGTTGGACTTTTCCAAACTCGGAGAGCTCGAAGCCGAGAAGCGCGAAGCGAATGGCGGCGCGCTTTCGCGGCCGGACCGACGGTACGGGCCGTGAGCGACGTGTCATGGACTTGAACGGATGGGGGTAGACTGCCGTCGCGAGGCATGGAAGCCGTACGGAACAAGGGGTTTCTGAACAAGGCGGCCCCTACAGAAACGAGTGGCGGGTCGGAGCGCGTGCGCATGCCCGAGCAAATTCGAATTGACTTTACAATGCGACCGCAGCCAAAAGTGGACGCGACCCAGATCCCGTCGACGAAACTCGACCCCGAGTCCAAGAAGGCGCGACTGATGAAGCGCATGCAAGTGATTGCCCGACCTACAAAACGGGCGAAACGCGCGGTCAAGATGAGTATCGAAGGGCGAGGGCTTCAGTCGTAATTCACGTGGCATGATATACCCTCGTGCGACCGAGAAGCAGAGGACATCGATTCCGTCGACTCTGTTCCGAGAATGGTTTGTGTCGTCGTCGGCATCTTGCGCCTGCTTGGGCATTCATGCCACGCAGTGACGGCAAACGCGATGACAGACACACTCACACAACACAGTTCCCTCTAGTGTGCACACTTGTCCTTGAGGGCATGCCTGATGATGCATGATCCATGCATTCGTCGTCGACTCCCACCAGTCCTGCCGCCGCCGCCTTTCGATTCATTGGAATTTGAGCTCGTTGATTGGCCCATCTTGGACCAATGAAACGACGCTTCTATGGCATTGGTTGCGTTGACATTAATGACGAAAATGGCGACGCGGCAACCGACGGCGGCCGCGGCGAAAACGGCCCCACAGCGGCAGTCCAAAGTAGAAACTCTCGCGGAGTTCAAGCTGGCATTCCGAGAATACCTTGTACGTTGCTGGATGTTTGACAGGAATTCCTCATGTGCCCATGAATCTAGACGAAGACGCATGTTGCGTCTGCCGACGAAATGGATGCGCTCATGCACACGCTGGAGCAGCCACTGCCCGTGTGCTTTCGCTTGAACCTCGATGGCCTCGAGTCCGAACGGTGGGCGCGTCGCTGCCACGTGTCGCATCGTGGTTTTTCACGTCCGTGTGGCGCGCTGCAGGTTGAAGTCGCTGTTGTCCACCAAGTTCCAGTTTCCGCTCAACACGTACTTTTACAACAACGTGGCGGTCACTCCCCCTCAGTACGTCCTCACCGTCGATCCACCAACTCATGGAATCCCGCGCAGATCGATCCCGTGGTACCCACAAGCCAACACAGCTTGGCAAGTTGCGTGTGGCCGCGTCGCATTCTCCAAAGCTGGTATGTCGGCACGTTCCAGGATCATCTTTTCACGCATGTGCACATGCAGCCCACGAGCTAGGCCCAGTCCAAGATTTCCACAGGTGTCTCCTCGAACACACTGACTACGGCAACATCGACCGGCAAGAAGCGGTGAGCATGCTGCCTGTGCTACTGCTGGACGTGCAGTCGGGCCACCGCATTCTCGACATGTGTGCGTCTCCTGGCTCCAAGACGACGCAAATCCTGGACCTGATCCAGGACGGCATGGTCGTTGCCAACGACATGAACAAGAAGCGCGCGTACATGCTCGTGCATCGGTTGTCCCGCAACACGCTGCAGTCGGCGGTCGTCACGTGCGGCCCGGGCCAGTTGTTTCCGGGACTGTATACGTCAGACAACGACCGAGGGGTTTTGCAACCCACAAACGTGTTTGATCGTGTGCTGTGCGACGTCCCGTGCAGTGGCGACGGCACCCTTCGAAAGAGCCAAACGCTGTGGAAGGAATGGCACATTGGCCAGGGCTTGACATTGTTTCCAACGCAGTTGGCGCTCGCATTGCGTGGTGCTGCACTGGTAAAGGTCGGCGGTGTCATGGTGTACTCGACGTGTTCATTCAATCCAGTCGAGGACGAAGCGGTGCGTCCACACGGTTCAATCAACGTCAGGAAACAACTGACGTGTGTTTAAAGGTGGTGGCAGAATTGCTGCGGCGAAGCGATGGCGCTTTGGAAGTCGCCGACGTGTCGGGACAACTGCCTGGGTTGGTGTCGCGGCCTGGTCGAACCGCGTGGCCGGTCGGGTGGCGGTCCAAGTCCAAGAGCAGTGCCAAAGGCCACGTCATCACACGCGCACCACACACGAACGAGCTCCACCACTGGTTTGACGAGTACAACGACGTGCCTGCGCAGCTGCAAGGCGACCGCATCCTTCGATGCATGTTCCCTACATCCGACCCCACCATCCATGCCGCACTGCGCCGGTGCTTGCGCCTCGTGCCCACGGACGGCGACTCCGGCGGGTTTTTCATCGCGGTGCTGCGGAAGACCAGGGATCTTCCCGGTGGCGACCTCCAACAGGGGCTCCCCCCTCTCGACGAAGTGCAAGCTGGGGACCCTCCTCCAGGCTACGTTTGCAAGCTGTGCTCGAAACCTGGCCATTACATGAAACATTGTTCGTTGTTTGACACTGTGTACGAGCCGGACGAGCCAAGCGCCAAGAAGGCAAAGGTCCTTGAGGATGTTGAGGCTCCCGCAGTGGCGGTCAAGGAAGAGCCGTACCATCGCATCACGGATGCAGTGTGGGCGAAGCTCGAGGCGTTTTATGGACTGAAGGAGGACGCAGCATTCCGCGCGGCGCTATGGAGCCGGTCTGAATCGTCAGCCCAGATCAACTACATCCACCCCTCGATTGTCCAAGCGTGCATGGCTGGGGGCGACGCGCTCCAGGTATGTGTGCCATTCCGATTGTTGCATTGATGTGACTTGAGCAGATTGTGAACACGGGGATCAAAGTGTTTTCAAAAACGTCCGACGGGTTCTTCCGTCCCACGAGTGAAGGCCTCGCTGTGATCCGCCCGTATCTGACGAAACGCGTGCTCCACTTCACCCTGGACGACTTTCAACTGCTCGTCGCTCGCACCGACGCGGTGCCGTTCACTGCACTCACGCACGTCGACGGCCACAAATCGACACAGGCGCTGGCGGAACTGCCGCTTGGACCGGCCATCGGCGTCCTCCTGATGCCGCCGTCGATCCAAGGCACCCCCACTGCAACCACGACGTGGCCGCTGCTCCAAGATCGCCTGTTGTGTAATCTCTGGCTCGGCAAAGGGTCGTTCATGCCGCGGTTGTCGGCGCTCAAACGCGCGGAAATGTCCGACCTCTTGCGTGCATACTGTGGACAAGACGTCACAGCGTGATAATAATGTCGATGCACCAAAGCGGCGCCCATGGACCTTGTTCTGTTGTCCATCCGTTCACGGCCTGCCTGGTCTACCCAAACTCATCAGGAACTGGCGTGTGGCCTTGTATTCCCTACCTAAATTGTATGGGCACGGGATGAGTTGGATGTCTGCATGAGATTGAGCGCAGCAAAGTAGCTCTCGCTGGGTGCACCGTCACCACACTGCGCGCGAACGATGGACCTCGGCCATCCAACCAAACACAAAACCAGTGGTCGAGTTGGTTATGCAGTTGAAAGGCCCTACTCCTTGGGTCCTTGCTGCTCTGGTACAGCCGCGGCAAAGTGGACACGCGGGGGTTGGACTGCGGCGGCAGGGTCTGGCCGCCTGCGGCTGTGCACCGACTTCATGAGATAGTAGAACGAGTCCCGTCGATGGCTGCTTCCGTCGGTGGTCGGTGCGACGTCATCGGTCCCGCTCGTCACGATTGTTTTCAACACGCGGGAAAATTCGTGCCGAGGGATGCCAAAGTTGCGGCTGTCGCTGGCTTCTACCCACGACGCCATACAAAAGAGCGCTGCCACAATCACACAGACCACGACGACTCGACTAGGGGGTGCCACTTCATCCTTGGCTGGTCAAGAGGAAGAAGCAGCTTACTGGAACGACGCAGGTAGCGCGGCAGTGCTTGCGTGGTGAAGAACACTCACGTGGATGAAGTTGGCGACGAGGACGCCCATGACACCAGTGCCCCAACTGCCAACGATCTGTGACGGAAACCTGACGCCAACGAAAACGCGGGTGAACGCAATGATGAGCCCTGACACGACCATGAGCTAGAACCAGAGTGAGTTCGAAATGGTGAGTTGCCCCTCCATGAGAACGAGTGGACATTACCGCAATGGTGGTCGCCGAGACTGCGGGTGAGGTGAGTGCAGGGCCGATGACCACGATGACCATGTGGGAATCGACGGATGGAAACCCTTTTGTGTCCGGATCAGTACACGCATGCTCGTATAAGCTGTCGTCGTAGTCGATGGGCCGCTTGGCGTCGATCGAGTACTGCAGCACGACGACTGCGACGAGATTCCCAACGCATGTGTAAAAGTACGGAATGCCCAGGTCCGACACGATGTAGAAGAAGAAGATCCTACTCGCGCTCCCTGTCAGGAGCATGAAGCACGGCACGCACAGAGCCGTACCAGAGCAAGAGGGAGATGTCTTGGGTCCTGTACCGCGATACGAGAGTGTGGACGACGGCAGAGGCATTTGGATATACCTGCAAAGCAAGTCATCGCCATCGATGACTTCAAAAACATCAACATACCGACTTGCAATCATGCAGCCACCACACGATGTGAAAATCCAGCGCCAAGACGGGCTTCGAGACAAGCTGAGCTTCCAATGACGACGGCGGGTGGCCGCGCCGCTTCATGGCCGATCTTTCGCAGTGGGGCCACGTGATTGGTTGAACCGTCCATACAGTATCCAAGTAAATGCAAAAAGTCCTCGACACCGATGGCAGCGAGTGCGCACAGCATGCGCGGAGGAAGGATGGCGTGGGTAAACCAAGGCATCCAAGCCACACGGGGCAACTCCATTAGGACAACCCACTCGCTTCCGGGACGAGTGCGATGATGAGTTCCTCTGGTGTGTGTGTGGACGCGTGCCAGCCAAGGAGACAACGGACGACATCACGGGTCACGTTAAAATGGGTTAGCAACTACGTCAGGCAGTTGCTCGGTAAACTAGTCAGGGCAAACTATATATGTTGGGGGTCCGAAGCGCCACGCAGGGTGCAGTGGCAGCGATGACACGAGCAGGAGCATCGTGTTCCATCGCCACCGCCGTCCACACGGGCGGGCTAGACCGTTGAAAAGAGGGGGTAGCGTCAGGCTATTAGGCGAGCATCAACGTAGGCACACAAAGTCAAGTCACGCACAAAATCCTTAGTGCCGCAGCGTCTCGTCCACGAGCTACACAACCACCGTCGCGTGAGCTGATATCAATCGAATTTCGAGTGCATCCGACCTGTTTGGCCCACCCGGCAACATTCTGGGCTTGATCGTCGTTGATGCGGGACGTGTCCAGCAGCAGCGACTGAATAAACTGTTCTTTCAGCAGCACCTTGGCTTGGACACCGAGGATCGACGCAATGTCGCTACAACGAGCCGTGAGAATTCCGCGCAGCACAAAACGCACGCGCCATACCCTATTAAACCAGCGCACGTGGTGGTGACGCCGTTGCTGCGGTTCGTTTCGTTGGCGAGGAGGGCAATGAATTGGCCAATGCCTTGGAGCGCGGGCACCATCAGATGGCCCTTGCTGTGCGACGACAGCCCTTGCAAGATGCCTGTAAACGCTTCCAAGATGCTCTCGCGAAGTTGGTTCATGTAGTCGACTGCATCTTCGTCATCCACTTGGATCGCTACGCACGCTTGCGCGGCTTGGAGTAGCATTTCCACCACGTGTTGAAAGTACGGCTCAAACTCGCCTTCGATGGCGAGGCCAATGTCGCCAAACACGGCAATCACAGGGGGCTTCACGGTGCGGTTCAAGTTGGGGAAGCGCAAAATCACAAGCAGTTGGTTCACGATTTCAGGAATGTAAACATTCACGTCGGCCCCGAGGGCGCGGCACACGTCGCCGACGACGCCGACGGCCGACGCGCACACGGCATGCTCTTGGACGTTCGACAGGCCCGCAATCAAGACGGGGTAAAACTGCGTCATGTACTTCTTGAAATCCGACTCGATCGCGCCAGCCAGCGCCCCCGTGGCCAAAAACGCTTCTTCGCCTGACGTCGTGTGACCAGTGCTAAAGATGTTGAGGAGGCACTGCATGATGCGATCGGCAAACGGGCGAATGTCATTGTCGACGCGCTGGATCACAACCACGAGCACGTCACAGACACACGTGTAGAGGCCGTAAAACTCTTGGCCGTAGCTCGGGTTTGCCTTGTGCTTTTCAATGTTGACTTCAAGATGTTCGAGGATGCTTGTGAGGCGGCTCAAAATGTGCGGCGTCGCGTTGGGGGACCCGTGTTGAATCATCATGCCGAGGGCTTCAAACGCCGACACGCGGATGTTCTCCTCCGAAGAGAGCTGGCACGTCATCAAGCACTTGTCAAAGACGTGGCCAAAGTACGGGTCGAGCGGCGTCGTGCCTTCGTCAAGTTCGCTGAACGATTGGAAAATGTAGTGGATTGCATAGCACATGTGCGCGGCCACCTTGTTCTCTTGGTCCAAACCAGCCACAATCAGCTGCATGAGCGGCCCGAGGCAGCGCGCCATGACGACGCCGTGGATCTCGCAAATGCGCCCAATGGTCCACGCCGTTGTGTCGCGCACAAGCGGGTTCTGGTCATTCATGCACGTGATGAGCACGGGCATGGCATTCTCGACAATCGGCTGGATAGTTTGGTGCTGCGGGCCGTCCAAAATCGAGCCAAACGCCATGATTGCCGCTTCCTTTTGGTGCCAGTTGGTCGATTGAATGTTCGACGTGACAAATTGCATGACGGGGTTCACGATGGCGTCTTCGACAACTTGAGCAGCCAAAGTCAAGGTCGTGGCGCCAGCCATCGACAAGTTCCAAGTGTCGTCCTCGAACTGGTCCTCTTCTTGCTGGGTCAACGTGTTCAATAGCATGGGAACAAGCACCGGCAACACAGTTTCGACGTAGCGCTTCAAGTTTGCGGCAGCCACGGAGGCGTCGCCGTAGCGGGCTTCCTCCAGGAATTCAAGTTCGACGTCGCAGATGGACGACCAGAATTCGAGAGATTGGAGGCCCACCTCGGCCTGGTCGGATTGCACCGCCTTGAAAGTCAAATCGCACAGGACGCTCATGTACTCGCCGAGATACTCGTAGTACAGCGAGGCAATCGTGGCAATGCACTCAAACGCGCGCACGCGGACTTGGACGTCAGTGCATTGCGTCGCTTCGCACACCACCGTCATGATGTGGGTGCGCTCGGCGTCGCGACTAAAGTTCTCGTTGACGAATTCCAAGCTGTTGCGGAGGGCAATAACGGCAGACAGGCGAATCTTGTCGGGATTTTCCCTGCGGATGCCGTCGACGATCGCGGTCAGAATCTGGTTGGATTCCGACTCCTCCAATGAATCTTCATCGAGCCCTTCGCACAAGTACCCAAGCGTCTCGAGCGACGCGTGCTTGACAGAGTCGATACCGCTCGTCACGTTTTCCACCAAAATTCGCAACAAGTCGGGCCATTGCTTTTGAGGAACGTCAATCGAACCAATCTTGGCAACGACTTGGGCGGCAGTGTGGGCCGCGACGGTGTCTGGCGACTTCAGCGATGCCAATGCAAACTGCTTGATTGCGCCGCGGATGTCGTCAGCAAGGGAGTACCATTGTTGGATCTTCAGTTCTTGCAGCGCATAGTCCTTAGCGTCCAAGATGTTCTTCAGAAACAATCCAGCTTGTTGGCGACCGGGCGTTGGGAAGTCTTCGGCGGCAAGCGCTTGGGAAAGGGTGACCATGAGCTGCCCGGCATTTTCGTTCACAGCCTGGTTCAAGGCATCTTCTGCTTGCTTGCGGAGGTTTGCGTCGGGACTAGTTGTCGCGAGCAGTGCGTTTGGGATGTCCATGTGAGAGAGAGCTTGAACTGGAAGCGCGGCGCCAAGGGAGCGGTGGTTTGTATCCACCAAATGCAAGAATTAACTGGGGGAAACCTGTGACACAGCTTTCACCAGTTCTTTTTACACTTGGGTGTTGTATACTACCTATTTTTGAAGGGTTTTGACGGCGTTAAGAAGGTCAAGGTTTGGTTAGGTACGAATATTTATTATGGTGTTTATATGCTCCACTTCAAGTGCGCTTTATGGGACCCGCCAAAGAGTCCCGCCAAGAAGGGTCTACAAATAATGAGCAGGCGACCGGCATGGTGCGAGTGAGCGTTCGTTCCTTGCTTGTGGATGTGGTGAAACCCACTGTAATTACTCGTGCATACACTCAGTTGATATATGAAGCAGCCCAGAGCACGATGGACGCCCTTCAATGCAAACGCTGACACAGATTGATCCGGCCGAAAACATAGTCCATACTCCAGATAGAACCTTCTCACCCTTGTAATTCGTCAACCCCACTATAATTAAACAAAAGGATCGCAATTTCTTCAACGAGATTAGCAAACACCGCGAAAGACGAGGAAGGCGAGGTAGTCGTTCGCCATCTGCGCCATCCAGAAGAAGGCAGACACTCCGAGGAGAATCGAAATGGGCAGGGCTGGGAGCGCATTGAAATGACCCAGGAGATACATTGTGATGGCCAGGCCCTTCACCACGTGATCAACGATGTCAAAACATGAATCCGCGACAACGTACCACGATAACACACAAAAAGCACGCAATGAACGCCCCAAAGCTTGTCATGGCAGCCCGAGCGACGAGAACACTGTAGAAGATAAAGTCGCCCAGGCCCAACTTGATCGTTTCTTTCTCCTCTACACGAGTCGTCACGTCAAGCGAAACACCTCGTCTCGGTCAGGCACGTACGAGTGTCGAGGTCGGGCATCGGCGTCCCATCAAACACCTCCGCGTACGACGGGTACGATCGATTGCTTCGGATGTACGACACGTTGTACTTGGTGTAGAGCAATTGCCAGCACTCTTGCTGCTTATGGAGGTACTGCTTGGCGACAGTCGCAACATGGTCGGAGTGGGGTGAATTGTAGTCGCGGCAGAACTCGAGCAGTTGATTTTCAAACACAACTTGCTGGCGAGCAAGGTTTGTGGAGGCCCCAGCCACTGGAATCGCGTACACTATGGGGGCAGTCTGCGATGTGTACAGTGGCGCCTTGTACACTCCGGCGCCATGAGCAGCCTGGAGGTTGTGGGCCGTATAGAAAGAACCATTGGTGTAGTTGGGACTGTTTTTGTGAGTTGCCTTGATCTCGGCTTCATACAGCAGCCCTGGCATTGGACGCCCTTCACTGTGTATCAAGTTGACCTGCGAGGAACGTTGGAAACGGGTCGTGCATGCAGACGCCTTACGAGGCAGCGCAACGGCCCGCATGGTGTCAGCACCGCAAAGAGGTCCCAGAAGGCCAAGCCGCACAGGATAGCCCACGTGCTCCACTACGTGTCGATGGTTCAAGTTCAAATGCGACTGTGACGAGGCCGTGCCATGGCCACCAAACTGACCGACGGTAATTGGCACAACTGCCACGACATGATGACGCTTGTCACCACCAAGTAGGCACGGCCGACGTCCGGTGACACGCCCTAGTTCGAGACAGTATGTAATCAGCGCAGAGGAGCGGAGAAAGCCCAGCTGGCAAGCTCGCGAGGGACATGCCGTACCTTTTGGTAAAAGATGCTCAATGTTCCCACAATCGCAAAGTTGTACATGACAAAAGTCATGGATATGGCGTCGACGTGCCAGAGGAGACGTTCACACACGATTTTTTCCGCCAGCACGCTCCCCACGAGACCGAGAAGGGTCGCGGACGACGCCATCAAGTACCCTTGCAAACCCTGATGGGACCATTGGTGAGCAGAAACGGGACAGTGGCCATTCATTTAAGTATTGGAGACGTACCCCCATGCAGTTGACCTTGTACATGAGGACCACCGCGAATGTAACTATCGCAATAAAAAAGATGATGACGAGCGCGTTCGTCAGAGCTTCCATGACTTTTGTGCTCGTGCTTTCTATCGACTCGTCGATGTCTTTGTAATAGAGGTATCGGCTACGCTATGTAGGTCGGTGACATGGCCATGGTATGAACCACGCACCTCATAGAGCGTTCGGCATCAGGATCACGCATGCTCACGGCTACAATACTCGCGAGAACCATGGTCACCTGAACTGGCCACAGCACAGCCAAAAACGAGTTGAGCTGCGTGACGACGGTGCCCAAACTCAGACCGTAACCGAGTGAAAACGACGACGACGGACTGTCTTTGGGAGGTGGGTGATGGTGCGGTGCCAAGAGCGGCTCGTCGAACGTGGTTTTACTACAACGCACATGTGACGGCGACACAGGGAGCGGGCTCCGCGACTTACAATGCTTCGGTCGCCATGGCCGCGGCGCTAAAATCGAAACAATACCTCGCCGGCAAATCTCGAACGAAAGTAATCCGATTGGTGGCAGTTACACGTCCGGATAAGACAGATTATCCGGATAGCGTCGAACAGCTATCCTTCGACTCGATGGCAAAGGCGGCGGCGGCCAAGCTGCTTGAAGTCGACGATATCGACGTTCTTCTCGCCGACAACAACGTGCGCAGCGCCACGGGCATCACCGAGACAGAGGTGAGGTACCCTGCCTCTGCAAGCAGCGTCGCGGTGCTCAACAAGAAAATGCGCGAGTTGGAGGTGTGTTACCATCGCACGCGGCTCCACCTTGAGCGCGCCACGCAAGAGGTAAGCACAGTGACGGCGATGACTCCAGTACATTCGAAGGAGTGGAGCTACATGAGCTTGTACAGACCGAAGGCGTCCAGAAAGAGATTCGTAAATTGCGAACTGACAAACTCCGCCTCGAGAAGGACGTGCAAAAGAAGACAGCACTGGTACTCGCCATTCGTGTTCACAAACACTTCGTTATACAATTGACAAGCCATATAGTTGGAACGAGTGGCGGCAGAGAAGAAGCTAGCCGAAGCCCAGGCGATTGCAAACAGAGACTATGCCAAGCGGGTCGAGCAAACAGTTGCGATGGGCACACGCGGCCACGTAGGCGCATACACCCCACGTTCAGAACGACGCTGCTTTGTGTGATATGTGCCTTACTAGAGTGCTGTTACGAAACACGCAGAGCTACTTGGTCGAATTCGAGAGTTGGAAGCTCAAAATGGAGAGCAGAGAGAATTGATCTCTGAAAAGGTAGCGTCGATTGGGATTTTCCAGCGTAGTAATTGACGCTGACGGGTCCATTGGCAACCATTGCCCGTTTGTGATTAGGATGCTGTGACACAAGATGCGCTGGCAAAGATAGGCATTCTGAAGCGGTCGCTGGAGGAAAGTGCCAAACCAAGATCTTATCTCGTTTAGGACTTCAATCTTTGATCTGACCACGTATGCATGTAGATTCGAATTCGAGACATCGGTCTCGATGGGAATGTGCACAACGGGTTAATTTACGAGATCGCTAGACTTCAAGAGACCAACGCAAGCTTGACCATGCAAGTCGCAGCAGAGGCCGACCACGTGACAGAGCTCCAAGTGCGCTGGATAATGCACTCCACAATCGCTGACAGTTCGTTAGGCCGCCCTTGACGCGAAAGACCTCGAACTGCATACTGCAGAGGCCGTCCATGTGGCGTCCGAGCGAGCGCTCGCTGAGTGCGAGGCTCGTGTGGCCAAAGGCATGGAAGAACTGCACGCTCTGCAAACCAGTTGTACCAACATGTCCGACGAAAAACGCATGCTGCTGGGCTACGTTCAGGTTTGTTTCTAACTGTGTTGAGCGTCAGAGAGGTCGGCATGAGTAGGAACAAGCCGAGAAGCTGCTGCAAGCAGAGGCCGCCGTCAACAAACTTCAATCAAATCACAAACAAGCGATCCACGGACTCGAAGCTCAACTGCAAGCGCAAGTAGAGCGCATCGAGAGTGGCAAAGCGGCCGAATTGGCGAGTCAAATCGCGTACGACAAACTCCTTCAGGTTGGCTCGCAAACATCGAACTTGCAAAACGACTCGGGAGCATTTTGAAAATCAACATGACATTAGGCGTATCAAATTACGCAAGACACTCTGGTCCACGAACGATGTGGCGGCGAAGCATTGCGTGGGCTCTTGCAAGAGAAAGCGTCGGAGTTGGAGCACGTGCAACACGAGGTTGAACACCTATAGATACGAAATCGAATCTCATCACAGAGTGACCATAGCTTCATGAGGCTCGCAGCGACGCGCAAACGTGGCAGGCTCGGGCGCAAGATCTTGAGCGCAGCTGCGCGACCTTGACCACCGACGCCATGGGCTTGAAAGATACGATTCGTGTACGTGTTGTGCAGTGTTTAAGGCGATGCTTTTGAGGACCTTTACATGCACGAGTAGTCTTTGCAACGCCGGGTGGTTGAGTTGGAAACGATGGTGGCACAGCATGGTCGTGTCGCGGACGAGCTCAAGGCAACGATGGCCCAAGCAGCAGCCGATGTGGATGCGATCACAAGAGAGGTACAGTCAAGAGTTCTTGGAGGAGGGGATTTCTCAATGGAAGGCGTCTAGCGCAACGAAGTAGCGAGGTCGATGAACGAAGCGGTGACGATCAGTGCGGCGGCCATGGAAGAGCAACAAGCGATGGCCGCGACGATGGCAGTGCAGCAACACCAACTGGAGCACCTCAAGCAGTCGAAGCAACTGTTGCAAAATGCCATGTTGGAGCAGTTGGCGGCCGTGCGCAAGCAGTTGCAAATGGAGCGGATTGCCCGACTCACAGCCGAGAGTCGCCGCGGCGATGGAATGGCTCGAGCTTCCCAACCCGTGTTGAGCAAAGATGAACTGGACCAACAGACTCTATTCGCCAGTCATCGTAAAGGTCCCGACACAATGGAACCCCGAGACATTGCAACTCACGTTCCTCGGCCCCAACCACAGCCGCCACTTCCATCTCTCTCCAATGCAGCTTCCTCAACGAACGAGAACATGCCGTCGTGCCCACATGTCGGTGCCGCGCATGATGATGCCTTGACACTCGTTGACTTGGCTGGAGCAACCGGACCAACCGCACACGACAAGCTGGCCTAAAAGAAGTGTAGCATGGGATTGATTAACAGTATAAATATGCTCGCCCGGCAGAGAGCCCACGCTAGCAAAGGCTACTTGGCATGGCCGACTTGTGGCACCGAGTCGGGACGGTTGAGTTGCCACTGCACGTCCGACACGATGGTAGCGGTCACGTCGACATGCAGGTACCCCGCGTGCTTGCTTCCCCACGTGAGAGGAATGTCAAACTGCCTCGTCGTGCTGAGGTCAGCTTCGGAGATCGCAAGCACCCCTTGGCCCCCGTCTCCTCGACTGCCGTCAATTTTGACAACAATGTGGTAGAGTGGCGACACGTGGGACACAGCCGTGTGCGACAGCCCGCGCGCTTGCGCTTCGGTCCACGCAACTTCAGTCGTGAAGGCACTGGATTTGGGCGGTAGAGGCCGGCGACGTGCCGGATGCAGGCGATTTCCGCGAGTGCAGGCAAAAGATGGGTGTTCTCCGTCGTGTCGAAGCATTGTCGGGGGGTGATGCGGCACCTAGTACATACGGCTCGTCAGATGCACACACGCACGACGCGATAACAACGAAACCTGACGCTGCATGAGACCATCCATGACCGGAATTGGAAAAATAATCGATATCTTGATGGGGTCCGCGGCATGAATTCCTTCGACGCATCCATGAATGGGTCAGGATGTAGGCACATATACTCGACATACCGAGCATGTCGTCCGAGTCGACTTCATCCGCGACGCAGGCCGCGCACTTGACGTCGTTGGGTCGGGCAAACGTTGGAAACGGGATCAACGTCCCGTTGTGCATCATCTGAAACCGGTGGGACACTTTTGCCGGGGTCGACAACGGACGACACGTGCACGGCTCTTTGCAAAACGATCGACGAGTCGTCATGCACATCGAGTACGATTGCACGGACGGGACGCGAACTTGCGAGCTCGGCTGCCACAAGTTGACGTCCAAGTTGTGCAGGTCAATGCGGAATTGCCGCATCGCGGGAACCGTTGGTTCCATGGCGGGATGACGCATCTGCGACACCATCGTTGGCCCATCCCATGCGCATGTAACAACCAGGGGGATGATGGTCCACGCGACGTACTCCGAGGGGCGACGATGACGACAGGCGGTGATGCCGCCGGTGGGTGAACCCATCGAGGCGATTCACTTCAAGTCGGTAAGATCCACAAATCGGTTTGTGGTTTGAAGACACGACGTCTTCGCAGATGCCGTACGACACGTTTGTGAAGCGGTCCTGGTTGGATTATAGCACCAGCATGTGGCACGGACGACAGTGAATAATGGCAGGGGAACGCTGGCTTACCGTCACACCGGGCATCGAGTGGTGCAGTATTCGATCGACGTAACTCGGGGCCACGTGGTCGGTCAAGGTAAAGAGGTTGGGCAGGTCCTCGACGGCTTTGGGGTTGTACGCGGCAGCGACCCCAATGGACCGTGGGTGCGATGGTAGAAACGTGATCGGGGGCTCTTTGAAGCCACAGAAAATCTACGCCATGCCACACGTTGGTCAGGCCATCAGCTTCAAATGGAGCGGTTGGGTCTACATCATTGGCTTCCATCAACCGGAGCAAGTTGTCGCACTCGGCAAGATCTGTCCATGCCGTTTCGGCCTCTTCGGCGGCGTCTACAATGTCTGCGCAAAAGTTTTTCGGTGTGTGGTGTCGTGACTGGTTTGCTGGTGATGGCAAGTGTTCCTTCCAAAACCAATCGTCATCGGCATCCTCGGCCAAAACATCCACAACAGCGTGGTCAATATCGTCCGAACTGGCGTCGCTCGGACTGCGGTCGTCGCAGTTGTCGATGACGCTCGATGCGGATGGAGTCAAGGCCCTGGCGTCTCCATGACTCGTCAAGGCGGCGGCGTCCAGGATCGCAACACGGCTTTGGGCCAAGTAAGCACTTTCGACGCGATCAAGAAGGTGTTGCGGGTGGATTTTCCCCACACCAAAATGGAAACTGCCCCCGAGGATTGTATGCTGGCAGTGATGCGGAAACTCCTGCGATGCGTCAAACGATTGCATGAGGTGCATTGCGTCTTGGACTTTGCGGGTCAGTGAGTGGTCCTGCACTCGATGGTCAGCACTCAAACGACGAAGCCCAGGCAAATCGTACGTCCGAAAATGGTTTGAGCCCACATGTAGCGACAGCCAACGACGCATCGAAGAGGCGCAGCGCGACGGCGGCCACTTGTCTCGACGAGCTCTTTAGCGCCATCTACAGCACAAAGTCGTGGCTGTGTCGTGCTCACCCGTCGACGAAAGCAAACGAGTAAGACTACCTCGTCGACGACAACGTTGCCAAGCGCAATGTCGGCTGACTTGGCAAACACGAGCTGGACGACGGACGCGCCATCCATGGACGGAAGGAGGCGGCGGCTGTGCGTGATCGCCACCGCTTGAAAGTCAGCAAATGGAGCGAGGCGCTGGAGGTGGCGGACAATGGCTTGCTTAGCGTCGTCGACATCAATGCAGTTCTGGAGGCCCACGACATACAGGTCGTGGTCAGGAGGGAGCCACTGCGGCAGGTGCGACGCGGGAAAGTACAGCTTGCACAAATCGTACGCCGTGACAAAGAGACGCATGTGGCCCATGCTGCGGCATTGCTCAAGAGTTGACGTGCCACAACCTTCGTGGTTGGAAGGCGATGACGACGGGTGGAATGTCAGCAAGTACGCGTCTTGATCGGAAAAGCAGGCAGCAGCACCTCCATACAAGACAGCCAGACCACATCCTACGAAAGCAACGATTAGCCTGCATGAAGAGCTGTGATAAACCGGGGACATGCGGAGGCTTCGTCGGCACCTTCCAGAGGGGACAGGACGTGGTGCAGCCCGAAGAGAGCGCCATGCACTGCGGGGGACGATGGTGATATCATGTCAAATGCGTCGAGAGCTACGAACAGGGAATGTTCAGTCACGTCGCCTACTGGGACGCAAGTACCCAAAATTGTCGCGTCAATAGCTCGGTACAGCACAAAATATACCAAATACACCATGAGGACCCGGGCAAGATGGTGGAATGCCGCAACGTTTTTCGTTTTTTTCCTACCACACGGCAGTACATGCGTGAGTGATTGGAGATCGATCGAGTTGTAAACGATGTGGGCGACGTACGGACGGAACAGGACCGCAACGACGGCCATTTTCAGCAGCACGAGAGTGAGGATGAGCCAAAGGGCATGACACATGACGAGAACCGATCTGGACGATGCGATCGTGAAGGTCGTGTCATTGTAAGCAGGGCATTGGCCTGGAAGGAGTGGACAACGTGATGACTCGACAAATGGTTTCGTCACGCACTGACGAAAGGGCCGAGGCTGAAAACGACACCGAAAAACACAGACACGCTTTGGAAGATGCGAAAGTGTTGGCTCACGCGACGTAGGTCCATGCCGCGTAAGATCCACAGGTGCACGTGGTAGACTATGACGCATTGCCAGAGCAAGGACGCGAGGAACGACGCTTGGAGTGCTGGGGTGAATATTCCGTCAGTTGCATAGGACGCGCATATGGGGCAAGGCTGAACGCGTGTAAATACCTGCAATGAGAACCTGCGCAAAGAACTCCTTCCTGTCGCTGCAGCCGTGCTTCGAATAATGTCCAGAGTAAGTTGATACCGGGCGAGTATCGCGAGTGTCCAACATCGTCGAAGCAGGCACAGAGCACTTCAAACCCTCCACCACAATGCGCACAGCATGCCTTGGTAGGTTCAACCACGCGAGTACATGCACCAATTGGGACACCGTGTCGACGAATTCACGTCGTGCACGTTGGGACCGATAGCTCACAATGATGTACCCGCAACAGAGGACAGACACGCACGAACATACGATGGCAACGCTTCTCTCCAACACATACTGGGCACTTTCCGCTCCGTCGCTAGAGTTGCTCATGCTCACGAGGTTGGTTGGAGATGTGTCGGAGGCCGCGGTGGCGGTGCACTACTGCGTCGCATATGTACACACGAGCTTCCTCACCTTTGAAACCTTATATGCACCTGTTTCTTAACCAATCTGGGACCGAAATATCAAAACAAAGAGGCGACCTGCCCTGTATATATTCTCGTCCATGATATTTTGGTTTTCATGAATATTTCCATTTGCTTGGTACATTTTTATCGCCACCGCCTTTTTCGTTTTTCACAGGGGACACAAGGCCAATTCTGATTGGTTCGACGGTTTGAGTGAACACCTGGCCGTGTTTATTCTTCAATTACAGGGTGAAACACGTGGGTGGAATGCTGGGGCTGAAACTTGCCAAGAAGCCAGATATAAATTCCTGACGTCCGAAAAATTACACCGGCCATTTTCAACTTGGCGATAAAACCTCTTGGATAATTCGGGTCAAGAGAATTTTTTCATCCCATTTTCTCATCACCGTGGTAGGAAAGCTCGGCTGTGATGTGCGCGGGCTGCTGTCCCCACCGGACAGTGGCTTTCACATGACGTACCCACTGGCGTGGAGCGAGCTAGGCGGCGACAACGGAGTGAGTCGCCACCGTTGTCAACATCGACAGAAACGAGTAAGCCGCGGATGAAAGTGCAACTCGGCTAATTGCGGGCAAAATGTCATCCTACGTCCATATTACCGAGAGGACCCTATACCAACCACACGACTCCGCCGAGGCTGAGGTACGCGTCCACCTTGGCAAAAGCTTATCCTGCCAGGTTACCGTGCGTGCGCGATCGCACCCGCCGGAGATAAGTAGGTCCTATGCGCAATCGGCCGTGGCGCCAGTACACACCGGGCCTTGCTCCGAGTTGAGGCGATTTCGGGACAGGATGTTCCACCGGAATCTGCGAAAAATCGACTTGCCGAGAACGGCACAGTTGGAGGCAGACAACCCGACAAATCGGGTGGCGCGCACTGCGCTTTGTTGAACGTAGTCGCGGCCCCCGCCTGTGCCCTTGTCGCCCAGATTTTGGTGGCCACGTGCTTTCACAGGTGCCACCGTCTACAGCCGCTGCCACAACACATGATACATAAACCCGCCGAGTTATCAGGATCGGGCGACCCGTTGTGCCACCCTTGGCACTTCTGGCTTTGGTCGATTACCCGACGTATTCACCTCAGTACCCGGTATATGACACTCATCTACCCGCTCTCATTCCTCCGGCACAAAGATACACCCACGGGATGTGCCCCAAAGTTGAAGATCCAACGTATATACATGCCCCCAGGACGGATCTACCATTGACACGAGATCTTGTCTATGCGCGGTTCCCGGTTCACCCGCCAAGCATTGTTCACTTCTCGCAGGTGGCCGGGCGACATGTCGTTCCGTTTGCGGATATCTGACTCTCGTTCGTTCCTTCCCGCATCGACCCATGGCCGTCGCCGTTGCGCAGGCGTACAGTGTACATCTCGACGATTCTCCACAGACCCCACAGGACGGCGCCGCTCCAGTGACGTCACGGCACGCCCCATTCGTTGAAGCCAGTAGACACAATCGCCAGCGCCGAGGGGGCAGTCCCCACAATCCTCGCGAGGGCGAATTGCTGTCGTACCGGTAGCGCACAAGTCATCCGAGAACAACCATATCACTCAGGGGAATTCAGGCGACGAGAGCGGTCGCGGTGGTTGCGTGATCTCTTGCTGTGCTGACACCGTTGGTTAGCCATGTCGACCACGAGCACATGTCCCAGGAGCCTTGTCGACGACGTCGAGCATGGCGCAGGTCCAAGCCAGAATGGCGCCAGGATAGAGAGGCGTTGGACAGTCGGGTATTCGATGGGTAGATCGGACGGCCGCAAGAATTTCCGCGAGCGTCGATCTTATTTCCAGTGGCGAGGGAGAATTTTTTCTCCGGTATACTTTTAACTTGGTGTTTGTATGTGCATTGCCGCATCATGAAAAAATGCCATCGCCTCACGTTGAACTTCAACAGCCCGTCATTACAAATCGAATAAAAAACCAAAAAAAATACGCCAGCCGCAACGCACCTAAACGAAATCAGATGGCTGATAAACCATCAAGCAGCATGGGGGTGGTCGACGACGTTCTCGACAAGACAACTCCTTCACCATCTCTGCATTTGAGCAAGCTGGCCTCAAGTACAACCTGCGCGACGTCGACTACTGCCACGTCGCCTGCATTGACTCCCCCTGCAACCGCCGCGACCGCCGACTCGTGTAACGACGGGATCTCGTTGCCCAAGGATCTCGACGACGGATTCTCTACAGAAGCGAGCAACTCGTCCGACGAACGAGAACCAGACTACGAAGACCACCTCATCAAACCCATGCCTGTCCTTGCCGTGTGTCCCGTGGATGTCATGCCTTCCCTTGACACGTCACCGATTCAACCGTTTGCATCGGCAAATATGGTGCCGTTGCCAATGCACATGAGCTCTCCCCCGCTACAACCCAATGTGCTCAAACGTGATCCCCTTGCCCTTCGCCATCAGTATTGGAATCAACTCGGCATTAACTTGTCCGTGCGGGATTTGGAGCGGTCCACCGGGCGACGACGCGTCAAGAAGGAAGGCATCAAGGTAAAACTCAACGACACCAAAGGCAAGCCGAAGCCCACCAACATATTTAAGGCGTTTTCGCGCTGGTACACAAACGAAATCACAAATGGCGGCAGCGACACTGCGTCATCGCCGTCGCCGCCTGACAACCTCGGGTCGACTCCCCCGTCACCTCCCACGGCCGCAGCCGACGATGCCAAGGACTCTGTGCCACACTGGCTTCTCCAAGGCCAATTGACGCCCCCGAAGATCATGAAGGACGCATCGCAGCCGTCCCGACCGTCGCAAGTCCCCAAGACGATTCGGTTTGAAGACGAAGCGGACCTGTATTACATTCCCGTGCACAAAGAGTTTTCGAAGCGACAAAGGGACAGCATGTGGTATTCACGACAAGAGTTCATTACGATGGTCGAGCGCAATTTGGACGAAATGTACGAAGAGATGGAGGCCGAGGTCGAGGCACAAGCAAAGTTGGAAGCAATGGAAACCGACGCGATGGCAGCAGAGGAAGCGAGGCAGCGCCAAGTCGACGCCGCTGTCAAGCAGCAGCAGCAGTCCGAGATGCGGCTACAGCAGCAGCAATACGCGTCGATTCAACTGCGGCCGCAACATACCACCGTCCGACTCGCACCTCGCGGACGATCCCCGTCCGAAATCCGATTTAAGTATTTGAAGCACTTGGGAATTTAATCACACCATTGAATAGTATCGACAGCCTTAGTACTCATCTCTCTTCCATCACTCCTGGAGGGAACGTGGTGCACTACATTCCTCAGGAAGCCTCCACGAATGTCACGTGTGCGTCTTTGAGCTCTTGGTGGGGTAGCTTCGTGGTACTCTAGGTTGTTTTCGTCGATTTCACTTGACACAGGCTGAGGCGACGGGAGTCGCGTAGTTGTCAACACTGGCAGTACTTGCCCCTGTCCCAGTCCACATCGAGGCGTTTGTGGTCCACCGCACACATCTGCGCGTGTAAGTCGGCGGCCGCGTCTTTCTCTGTGCACGTCATCGTCGACCGAGTGATGTCCTCGGTATGCGGTGGGTGCAGGAGTTTGTCAGAGAGTGCAGTAGGTGCAAGCGAGTGGACCAATGAGGAGGTTTGGGTGCAGGACTAAAAAAAAAATAGCGAATTGTGATTGGCTTAAATCCACACAGTTTTGGCGCAATGGGTTTGGCCCATTCGATCGCGGAATCGACAGAATTGCTGGATGTCCAAAGCAACATCCACGGCGATGAAGAAGTCGGCGGCGACTGTGCCCGCCAAGTTGAAGGCATCCAAGGCAAAAACAGGGGTGAAGGAGAAAACACCGATGCCTTCTTTGGAAGAGGACGAAACGGAGGACGACGTCGCCAGCAGCAGTCCACAAATGTCCAAGAAAAAACTCACGATTCAGAAACAACACGCCGGCTCGGATGAGAGCAGCGACTGCTCTTCGAGCTTCAAGTCCGACGAGTCGTCTTCGTCCGAGAGTGAAGAAGAAGAAGAGGGTAGTTATAAACACGGCGGGTACCATCGCGTGCTCGTCGGCGACGTGTTCAACAACCGGTTCACAGTGTTGGCAAAGCTTGGGTGGGGACATTTCTCCACTGTGTGGCGATGCCGCGACGCTGAAACCGGTCAAGAGGTCGCAATGAAGGTGCAAAAAAGTGCGTCCCATTACATGGAAGCAGCGCGGGACGAGGTCGAGTTGCTCGAATGTGTCAACGAAGCTGCTAAGAAATTCGGCGTGAGCCCTCGCATCGTCAAGCTAATTGCGAGTTTCGAGCACATTGGTCCGCATGGCACACGTACGCGGAGATTCCTTCCATGCTCGTGCATCATTTCACGGCGTTTGATTGTAGACATGTGCATGGTGTTTGAAATGCTTGGCGATAACCTCTTGACGTTGATCAAGCGATATGACTACAAGGGCATTCCGATTCCGCTGCTCAAAATCATGACTAAGCAGATGCTGGAAGGCATGGCATTCCTGCACGACCAGTGCAAGATTATCCATACCGACCTCAAGCCAGAGAATGTACTTTTGAACAAATCTCTGTCGAAGATGCCCAAGTTCCGGTCCATGGTGCCGCCAGAGTACGGAGGCAGCGCGCCTGTTGACTCATCCACGCTGACTGCCGACGAAAAGAAGAAACTCAAGCGAAAACTCAAGCGGAAAAAGCAAAAGCAAAACAAAAAGGAAGTTGCAGATGCCCTCGCAGACAAACTCGACCAGTCGCTCCTGATCGACGGAGATGACAAAGACGACGCTGTATGTCGCGCTACCAAGAAGCCACCCAAAGCTGCCGTCGATGGCCAACTCCTCTCCAACTTTCACACGTTTCCCACTGCGCCTATCCAGACAAACGGCTCGGGCACGGAGAACCCGTTGTCGATTGGCACCACAGACGATAATGCCGCCATGGTTGGAGCGGGTCTTCATCTGTATAAAACAACGTCCCGAGCCAGTCGCGACTATCCGATTCCACAAGAATACGCGGCTCGGATCATGCTTTGGTTGCCACCGCACGAGGTACTTTCTCGACCACAAGATTTGTTTCTGTTCCGAGGAGCTCATGCATGCTGGATGGGAGCGAGCTGGTTTCAGCATTGACTGGTGGTGGTCATGATGTAGGTGACAGCCCAACTCGGTGAGAGCTACCGCCGCGTCTACAGGTTCAAGTTGCCGCTCCCGGAGGATGTGACCACTGCATTCAACAGCTCTCGAAAATCGACCTGTTTCTCCCTCAAGTAGGTGGTTTAATGCAGAAAAAGTCACTCTGGACCATATTGTAGGCACTTTTGCAGCGACCGACGGGATCTTCCCAGCAAGGTTGAAGCAGCTCTTGGTGGCACTGATGCCGCGACAGAGGCCGACGGGAGTGCCGCCGAGCCCATGGGTCTTTGGCGACTGGAACTGGATGCTCGCTACGTGCGAGACGTTTGCGCACTGCTGGAATCAACATGGCCCGGCCATCTCGTGTTTATGAACGTGGCGGCAGCGGCGTCGTATGCAGTCCCAGGATTTTACTTCCCCGCTACTGACAACACCGACCCCAAGGCGCGGCAAGTTGTCCTGCAAGGCATGTACCTTCGAAGCACCACCGTTCAGGACGACGCCCACGGAATCCGACGCGTGGCGCCGCTTGCAGACCGGGTGAACTCCTGGCACCTGAATGTATTGGCGAGACACACCGCATCGTTGATTGAAGGCGTACCAGACTACCAAGTGAAGATTGCCGATTTGGGCAATGCGTGCTGGACTTACAAGCGCTTTACACAAGACATTCAAACGCGACAGGTTCGCTCTTTCATTCATCTTTGCTTGCTTCGACATGGAGACAACGCGGTTGGCAAACGTGATGTCGTCTCAAGAATTGCGTTGTGTGTTGTAGTACCGCAGTCCAGAAGTCATCCTAGGCCAAAACTACGACCAGTCGACAGACATGTGGTCGATGGGGTGTTTTGTGTTCGAGTTGGCCACGGGCGAGCTTCTCTTCGATCCCAAGAGTGGCAAGTCCTTTTCTCGCGACGAAGGTATGATGCATCCACCGGTCATGAAGCATTGATTGTGGCTAGACCACCTGGCCCAAATGATGGAGTTGCTCGGGCGCATCCCGAAGTCATTTGCCACCAACGGCAAGTACAGCAGCGAGTACTTTAACCGAAAAGGCGAGCTCCGGAAGATCCACAACCTGAAATTCTGGGCCCTCAAGGACGTGCTCGCCGACAAGTATGAGTTTGACACGGTCGACGCAGACGCGTTTGCGTCGTTTTTGGAAACGATGTTGCGTTTCCAGCCTTCCAAACGGATCACGGCGTCCGACGTACTCCACCATCCGTGGTTAAGCACCCCCTAAGATAGTCCATGTTGCCGTGGCACTTCCGCCCTCCTTGTTTTATAGTGCTGAGACTGAGCCGCCGCTCCAGCGACGCGTTGGTCGCGCCGTTGGCTGAAGGAATGCGTCGAAGCAGCACAGCCGACATCCTTTTAAATATTTAAAATGCGCAAGTTTGTTTTAAAAGGTTGAAGAAGGCGTTGTTCTATTTAAAATGGTTCTAAAATGCACTCCTGTTCTTCATTTCGTCACCATGCCTTCGAAAGACTGCACTGCGTGCAAGCCGGGCGACGCTGCGCTGCACCCCGCGGCGGTCGAGGCAACAGGTTGCCGCGATCTGTACGATGCCGTTGACGGTACTGTTGTATGAACCCACGTATTTATTGGTGGCGTGGACTGGAGAATGAACGACGTCATGGAATGTAGCATGCATGAAGAAGCACAGCGGGAGTGTATCAAAGTGCAACGACGTACGACGAGGGACCATGGTTTCAACCGTCACTCATCGTGTGCATAGGAATGGCAGGCATTTCGCGCGTGCCATCGAAAAGAGCGCTTGACTCGACCTTAGCGACTTACCCGCCTGGACGGATTCCATAGCAAGAGCAGTCGACATGGCCAATGGTGATAATGTCATGTTGAAGCCTACATACAGTCCAGCACTCGATCGTATCATCTCGATAAGTTTTCATAACCTCTCAAAATGAACGCAACGCGTGCTGTTAGTGCACCGTCGAGCGTGTGGCAAACGCTTCGGTTCTTCCGTCTCGGCTGCTCCCCTATGGATCACATGATTGGGAGGAGAAAACCTTGAGCCCTTCGACACGGCAACATTTGCATCTTAGTGCGCGAAACGAAAGTCTAAATATACCCGGCGGCGCGGCTCCGGGCGGTACAAAAATAGTCGAGCGAGTCGGCGGCGTGCTCCGAGTGTCGTCAGGAGCATCTGCATGAAGGACGGGGGGCACCACCCGTCGGACGAGTACTCGGCCGAAGAGGTTCATGCACTGAGCGGTACGTGGTTTTGTTCTGTCTTAGTTGCATGTGAATCGCGAATGCGCGTAGCGGTGTTTTCCCTGTTTGACGAGAACGGCAGCGGTCGGATCTCGGCATGCCACCTCGAGAGCATCCTGTCCAAGTTGGGGCGGAATCCGTCGGAAGCGTCCGACCTGCTCAAAAACATCGACCTCCAAGACGACACAATCTCGTTTGACGAGTTCCTCTTACTTATTCGCAGCCAGCCCGACATTGGTACGCAGGTCGAACCGCCGTTCTCGTGGTACTCACGGGCACTCTTGACGGCGGCAGATGGACCGTACAATCTCGGCCCTGACCCGAAAGTGATGGAGTTTATCAACATCTTGGAAGAGTACCGTGCGAAGTGTGAAGAAGATGGCAACTACCTGGAAGCCCAGCGCGCCGACACACAACTCATCGCGTTGCGCGCGCAGGAAGCGAAGCGCCAGTCCAAGTCTCTCAAGGCCAAGCAGATTGCCGAGCGCCAGGACATCCAGATCGCGCACAACATGCAGTACACGGATTTCAACTCTGCGTGGGATCAGTACATGGACGAGTACGACAGCATGGCACAGGCGTATATCCGCCAAATGACGGACAAGCACGCGGCGGACCTGCGCGCGTTTCAGGAGAAGCTGCACAAGGAACTCATGGAGCGGCCGCCCAAGTTTTCAAAGGAATTGATCGAGTGGCGACGCCGGCAACACCGCCTCGCGCAGCAGAAGAACTATGCCGAGGCGCAAAAGATCAAGCTGATTGCGGACGAGCTCGAGGCCGAGGAACGGTCGACCATGAACGAGTCGCTCCAGGTGATTTTCACGCGCAAAGAGACCAAGTTTCGCCAGCAACAACAAGCCGAAGTCCAGGCGCTTCTCAAACGAATCGACGGCCGAAGGAAGGAGCACGTAAAGCAGCGCAACTTGGACTCGAAGCGACTCCTCCAGCGCAACCGCAACGTCCAGGCCGTCCTCGAGTCAAAGCAGTCGGTCGAAACGACCAAAAAGTTGCAGGACATCAAAGCCGGACTGAACCCGAGAGACCGTATCAGCAAGAGCAACGTGAGCGCGATTCCACCCGAGGCCCGCGTGATTAAGCCCAAGAAACCAGCAGCTCCCCGGGAGCCGTCGACGACATTCATCACGACCGACCACAACGACTAGGCACTCTAACATAACAGTGCAAACGTGAGCACCGATCGACGAACACTATACATGCGTGCATGGATCGACGCGATGTCGTTCACGGCATTTCCACTTGGTCTTGTGGGGTACTCCATCCTGACGATGGTGTCCTCCACGTTGGTGCTCGACATGATGCGATTGCAGCCGGCTGATGCTCTCCGCGGCGTTCGCTGCTGCGCACATCACGTTGTTGAATCCATCGTTCGTGTAGGTCAACACGTGATACCCACCTGCAGAGTGCAGGTGCAATGTTGCTTCCATCGTCGACACGCCAGCACGCCTCGTCGCTGCCGTCGTTGCATGCCGCAACGGCAGCGACCATGCACCCGCACTCTGCAGGTGGGCGTCTCGCCTGGAGGTGCAAGTCGAATGCTGCTTGAAGGTTCAACGTGGTGTGTGGGCATCCAGTGGTGAATGCTGGCATGGTGGACCCCCCTGCCAAGACACACTCGAACCCTCGGTAGACAAGTTTCTGTTGACCTCGTTGGTGGCGTGCCGTGGTCGTGCGATAGCGGATGTGTCCCAGTACGATGCATTTGCCCCCACCCACACATGCCTTGTTCTCGTGAATCTCCCGCTCGCTTTCTAGAGAGCACCTCTCATTTCACAAGCTTGCCTTCGACAAGAACAACGACAACCAAGTACTAAGACCTCATGCGCGCGCGTCACCTTCGTATTCGGTCTTGGCACTGATCTCTGTGTCCCCTTACCTGTGGGCCACTGCATCGTCGCTCCTCGCCGTCTTCGTCGTCCCGTGGACGTCGTTGCTGTCCACCAGTGACTCGACACCGCATAGATGCGGCTACCCCTTCGGCCATGCGGGATAACCACATACCAAGGCGGCACAACCAACAGAAAGAGCGTCGTGTACTGGGTCGTGAGCATGGCGCTGGTCGCCTTGTTGCTCTACGAGCCAACGCGATTTCGACCGACGCCGCGCCGCCATCGCCATGGCCTTCACGGGAGGGGTGGTACTGCCCATTCTTTCCACCAACGAGTCACAACGAAACATTCGCTTCGATCGTGTCGCCGATGAAATGTTCGTTGCTCGCAAGGCAAGTGCATTCCTAGAGCACGCGATGAAGGCGCCGCGGTCATTCGATCCATGCATTACCGTGCATTGTTCTCTTCTGCAGTCATACGACAGTTTGCGCACGCGTCTGGATTATTCGAGTCATCGCGGTGGTTGACATGGATGCCGTTGGTTGCCGATGGCCGCACGAGGAACCAACCGTAGCTACGTTCGGATCGAATATGCAACGTGTATGCCCTGTCCGGCGATCGGAACCCCCTCGCTTCATCCAACATGGAGAACGACGTCGGCACGATTGCAACCACACGGATGCCCTCGGTATCGAGAACAACTCGACGAGCTAGGTCCGTCGAGTTTTCGTTCGCAATGCACTGATCGCTGCCGTGTGCTCAGCACACACGACCACACTCCAACGTCAGCCTACTGAGGCTTGTTCGACCAACGCGAGCAACTCGGAAAAGAAGGACGTCGCAAGCGCCGCCCCCACAAGACCACCATGCAATCCAAGGCGTGTTAACCGCCGCACACGAGCATGCTACTGTTCCAATTCCGAGTCGGCGTTGTACGTGAACCCGGAGAACTGCGCCTTGTTGCGCTGGGTCTCGCTCATCGTGGTCGTCACGACCGAGTCGACGGGCTTTTCGCCCGTGAATTCCAAGTCAAAGTTGCTCGTGTCGATGGAACCGAGCCTACGCCGTGGACCGAATCGTGCCCCACATTCACACAATTCAAGCGACGTACCGGTTTGGGGGCTTGAATTCCGGGGTCATTTCCTTCCGGTACACTTGGTCCCAGTCCAAACCGGCAAAGAACGGGTGCGACTTGATCTCTTCGCCGTCCGTGGGGCCGCTGCCCAAGCGGTCGCCCACCTACATGTCGATGATGTGTCACGTTGACGGATGCCGTTCCAAAGGACACGCGAACCTTGCGTTGCAGCAACCCGGTGAGCAAACTCTTGGCCTCCGCCGACATGAACGACGGGAACCGCAGCGGCGCGTTGATAATCTTGTCGTACATGCGCTACATGGTCAACACGACAGCAGTGAACAACCATTCCCACGAGTGGAATTCAACGCCAAGAGTTTGCCAATGTGACAAAACGGTCGTCTCCACGAGGAAGAGACGTGCTGCGGTACGAACCTGCATGTTTTGGTCGTAGAACGGGGGAAGTCCCGTGAGCATTTCGTAGATAAGTGTGCCCAAACTCCACCAGTCCACCGCCTACATCCATTCCACCCGTGGATAGTCTTTCTCTCGGACGAGCAGCATGACGAGTACCTTGCCATGACCTTTGTTTTCGAGGATCTCGGGGGCCAAGTACTCGGGAGTGCCACAAAACGTCTTGGTGCCGCCGACGGCGCCAGCGCCAGTGACTGCTTCCTTGGACAGACCAAAGTCCGTCAGGCGAATGTGCCCTTCCAGGTCGAGGAGAATGTTTTCCGGTTTCAAGTCGCGGTAAATGATGTCGTGCTTGTGGAGTTCTTGCAGCGCGAGGAGAATTTCCGCGGCAAACAATCGCGCCTTCGTTTGCGAGAACCGACGATCTTTCTTGAGCCAGAAGAAGAGCTCGCCCCCAGGGCAATAGTCCATGACCAGGTACAGCTTCTCAGGCGTCTACGCAGCACAACGTGGGGACACGCCCATGAGAGAATGCTCCTTGCACGTACCTGGAACGCGTACGACAACGTGGTCAAGAACGGGTGCTTGATCTGCTGCAGGATGTTGCGCTCTGTCTTGGTGTGTAGCAGTTGGTTGCGCTTGATGAGAGCTGCCTTGCGAAGCGTCTTCATGGCGTAGATCTTTTGGTTTTCCTTCTTCCGCACCATCATGACTTTGCCAAAGCTGCCCTTCCCAAGCACTTTGAGCAAATCAAAGTCCTCGATGGTCACTTTCGCCTGTACTACGGTCGACCCGTCCGCGTCCTTGATAGTCACCTGCTCGCTCGGGCCACTGATGTCTTCGCCGTCCGCTGCCCAACCGCGTCATCGTGAGCACAATTGAGATGCATCCAATTTGTCACGTACAGTCGGGCTCGGTAGCAGCGCTAGGTTTTCCCGCCGCGTCTGTCGTAGCAGAAGCCGTGGGGGCGTGCGTGGATGCAACAGGGACAGCGTTGGGTACTGGCGGTGGCAAGACGGCTGCGGGCTGGCCCTCTTGCTGCCTGTAGTGCGGCACCGGCGCACTCGCATTGGGTTGTCTGGTCTGAGGAAGTGGCTGTGGGCGCAATCCTCCTGTGGCGGCTTCACTGTTGACGCCTGGACGCAGTCCCTTGGAGCTGCCGCCACCTTTGCTTGCCTTGTTCCCCATCGCTTGCCGCCGCACTTTGTAATGTAACAACTGACTGCCGTAACGCCGCCACTGTCCCACGATTTTTTGTATTGGAAAGAACGGACCAATCAGCAGCCGGGGACGCTATCACCCCACCACGCTCCTGTGGGGACACTGATCCACGTCGCTACCTCCTTCCCGACAGACAGCGAGCGACGTCCATGCTGTGTGGGTGGAGGCACTAGTTTATGGCGAGCTTGTCATGCTTGGTTGACAAGCAGTGGTATGCACGAGTAGGTTGGTCTGCATAGAGTGATAGGGCAAGGAAGTCACGAGGTCGTCGTCGCAGTCGTACTGGCATGCAGTTTCAGTGCCAGTTCGCTCCCCTTCGACGATCCTACTTTGCCACAGTTGATATCAGAACGTGACGCACGCGGCGCGCTGCCCAGCAGCGCATCTTCGTTGGCGGGGTGTGTTCCAGAGCGATCCTCTTGTCCAAATACTTTGAGACAACATTTTACAATTGCTTGGGACGGTGTGTGATTATTGGGGTTTTGTATGTCGTTGTTGCGAAAATTGTGTTGCTTTTGATTGGTTTGTGACATTCGACGAAATCTTTCAAGCGTTTCTATTGGACAATTTTTTTTTCAATGAATTTACGAATAACGTTAGATTCAAGAGCCATTGAAAACGGACCGTTGTGGCTTTACAGGTAGCTTTTACGGTGATCACATGAATAGTGTGTATCACTCACTCTACACACCGCACCAAAATAGTGTGTAGTAACTACTGGCTTCGTCATGAAGCCCTTCGTACTACTTGGTGCCGAGTGTGCTTCTAAGAAGAGCTTCATGACGCAGAAGGTGTGGCTCGAGTGAGATCTGTGCCCAAGTGTGATGCAGGCTGTCGCTCGCATTCACCGGGGATTTTATTGGATGCGTGCAGAATTTCATCACACATATAAAGTCCAAGTCACACAAATTCACTGTCAGTTCAAATCACACATGTGGAAAAATGCGATTCCATGGGCTCAAATTTTGAAAGTGTTGGTTCTGAAAGTCGAAGTATCATCCCCTAAGG